CATCAAAGGGAGTGAGGCTAGGTGTCGACATGGAGATGCCAAGAACACCGGAGGTCTACGAGGAGAAGCTCAAGTGGACTGTGGATGCCACGGATGAGGTTATGAGGGACATCCTGGCGGAGAACTATGAGTCAGCCGAAGAGAACTCGGAGGACATCGAACGGCAAGTGCTCCAGGAGGTGGAGAAGGGGACCATCATTCGTATGATGGAGCACGAGGCCAAGAGGCGGTTCAAAGGTCGGCTGGCGGTGGCAGCCCTTGGAGCAGTCCCCAAGGAGTTGGGAACAAAGAGAGTCAGGCTCATCCACGACGGCACATACAGTGTGGATGTGAACCGGAGGATACGTGTCAGGGACAGAATGAGGTTTCCCCTGATCGATGATGCGGCCGCCATTCTGAGGCAGGTTGAGGCAGAGACGGAGGAGACGAGAGGTGGTGTCCGCTTCTCCGTGTTGTATGACATCGCCAGGGCCCACAAGCTAGTGCCTGTGGCTGAGGAGGACTGGGGGCTGCAGGCGTTCAGGCTGCCGAAGGACAAGTCGGGGGACATCTTCGTGCACACGCGAGTGCAGCCTACTGGTTTGGGAGGTCGATAGCGGTGGCAGTGAGGTGCAGCCATCGACTACTGGGGAGGCAACATGGGCTTTTGCACCTGATCTACGCGGACGATGGGTGGCTTGCAGCACAGGGGAAGGACTTTTGGAGGCGGATTCTTATGTGGTTCTTCGCTTTCGAGCTGCTCGAGATTCCGGTGACCTGGGCGAAAGTCAGAGGAGGTACGGAGGTCAACTGGATCGGATACTGCCTCAATATCCACACCTTCCACAAGGGCATCAACAGCTCCAAGAGGGCCTGGATTGTTGATTGGATCAACAAGAAGCTGGAGCTGGGTGGAGTGGTTGGCAGGGAGCTCAAGTCAGTTCTGGGCAGGTTGAGCTTCGTGGCTGGGGCTTTGAGGCACGTACGACCCTTCTTGGCGCCACTCTTCTCGTGGTCGGCCTCCATGGCGCCGGGTACCTTTTCGAAGTTCCCCGATGCCGTGGTGATCTTGCTGGAGTTTGTGAGGGAGGAGGTGCAGCGGATGCCCATGCGGCGCGTCGAGCCGCTGGAGGTGTCACCAGTCGATGTCTTCAGAGTTGATGCCAAAGCGGCTGGTGAGGAAATTGTGATCGGAGGTTGGGAGACGGGCGACAACCCAGATCAGAAGAAGGCAAGATGGTTCTCTTTCCATCTCACGAGAAAGACGGCACCATGGGCATACCTCCGAGGTGATCCCTTCAGGAACATCGCCACCCTGGAACTGATTGGTGTTTTGGTCGCCGTGATGGTGCTAGCTCCAGGGTCCAGCTGGGCCCGCGGTGGGGCCTGTGTGACGATGACGGCTTTGACGGACAATCTGGCCAATACCCATGTCTTGAGGAGATATGGGTCGAGCAAGTATCCGTTGTCGATAGTTGCCATGGAGCTGGCGGTGCAACTGGATCGAGTGGGCGTGGACCTGCAGCTGCAATGGGTACCGCGAGCTCAGAATCAGCCCGCCGACGATTTGACCAATGAACGATTTGTTGACTTCGAGGAGAGCAATCGGATCGTGGTCGACTTTGAGACTCTGCCGTTCATGGTCATGGATCGACTGCTCGAGAAGGCTGGAGAGCTTGACTCGGAGCTCAAGTTGTTCAAGACATCGAAGGAAGCCAAGCTCGCGCAGATGAAGGCAGCTGCTGCGGAGTCCGGTGTCAAGAACAAGAAGGGGGAGCTGCGGTGGAAGGATCCTTGGTGAGGACTGTGGGCATCAGAAAGTCCAAAGATGTTAAATAAGTTTCCCACCGTAGATATGTTAAAAGAAGTTGAGAGAGAGAGCTTGGGGTAGTGCAGACCTCATCTCTACTAAAGTTGGGGGAAAAGGTTCGATGAGGTCAAGCATGCAATAAACCTCTCTTAGCT